TAATAGTCCAAACAAATATACTCCGCAAGGTTTTCCTGTTTATTATTTTCCAACCAAGGAACATGTAGATGGATATTATGCCCCACTTCTTCCTATTCAATTGAAACTTAGCCCAGGTGAAAATATTATAATATGTAAAATGTGGGCAAAAAATATTAATATAATGAGTGATCCATTTGCTGTGGTTAAATTTAGGATCACGGTTAAAATGTAGGATTTATAATACTATAAAGCATGATATAGTAACCTGTTTAAATATTATTACTAAAAAGATAATTATATAAAAAATAAGGTATGTAGATTTGTTCTTGTGGAACAAATTATTCATTCTACTTTTGTATCAACACATCTTTATATATTTCTGAGCTTATAATATACAAAGAACTATTTTTTTTATCATTTTCAGGTAATTATAAAGTGATGGTGATATTGGTTCTATTTGTTCTTCAAGATCCCAACTGTCAGCAAGGGTGGCGCAGTTGCTTTTTTTTTTTGTAAACCATGAAAAAGCAATATGAAATCTACCCCAGAAAATATTCTGTTATAATACTAACAGCCCCCAAAAATATCATTCAAGTGTGGGATAAAATTGTCATATGGAGAAATAATTTAAAAATAAAAGTGGAATTTTTACAAAACTTTAATCCAACAATCAACTTGTATCATTTAGTGGAAAATTCATTTTTACTTATATTAGATAATGTTTCATCGATAAATGTAAGAAAAACATTTGCCGACGTATTAATTGATCTTCAAAACAGTGAAATAATTATTATAAAATGTGCTTCAATTACTTGGCCCTCAATAAATAAAGTGGAAAACTTTAATTTAAAACATTTTGAAGATGTTAAGATTATTTTAAGTATGAATGACTGGGAACGAAATTATGTATTGGTAAATAAGTACCTTTCATATGAATTTGCAGACATTAGTATTAAACCTCATTTAAAATCTTTAAATATTTTAACAGAAGATATAGGGAGTATCAATTCAGAAAAATTGAGAGCAAATCTACTTGATACTTGGAACAATGAAATACCCCCTATATACCCTTCTGAAGTTCTCCCAGATAGTGAATATACTGTTACTGAAGTAAATAGCAACAAACGCAGCAGTGAGTCACAATCAGGTTCAATTGGCATGCCTTCAAAACATAGGAAGTATTACTGCCTGGTGTTATAATGGATACTGCTCATTGGGAAGCGTGTCAAAGAAAAGAATATATATGTGTGTGTATGTATATGTATGTATGTATATATAAATATTTTAGTTTACATAAAATATAGGATGGAAGAACATGTACGTAGTAAATTAATCTCTTTTTTACTCAAAATTCAATAATTTCATTCGTTTATTATGCTATGATAGTGAACATAATGTTAAAATAAATATTTTATTTATTTATTTATATATTTTTTCAGATGATTGAACCCTTTTTGATTAAAAATCCAGGACGTTTTACATTGTTCCCAATTAAAAATCATGATATCTTTAAAGTGTATAAGAAGGCGCTAGCATCATTTTGGACAGTTGAAGAAGTAGACTTGTCAAAGGATATTGTAGATTGGGAACAGAAACTTAATGACGAGGAACGTCACTTCATTTCACATGTTCTAGCATTTTTTGCCGCATCAGATGGTATCGTCAATGAAAATCTTGTTGAACGTTTCTGCCAAGAGGTACAAATACCAGAAGTGAGGTGTTTTTATGGTTTTCAGATTGCCATGGAAAATATTCACAATGAAATGTACAGTTTACTTATTAATACATACATAAAAGATTTACAGGAGCAGAACAGATTATTTAATGCTATTGAAACGCTGCCAGCTGTTAAGAAAAAAGCTGATTGGGCTCTAAGGTGGATTACCAATAGAACGGCAACATATGCCGAACGCATTGTTGCCTTTGCTGCAGTAGAGGGTATTTTCTTTAGTGGTTCATTTGCTGCAATATTTTGGTTAAAAAAACGTGGTTTAATGCCAGGTCTAACCTTCAGTAATGAATTGATTTCTAGAGATGAAGGGTTACACACAGATTTTGCTTGCTTGATATTTAAGTACTTGATTAATAAGCCTGATCAGAAATATGTATATTCTATCATTGATAATGCTGTGAAGATTGAACAAGAATTTTTAACAGATGCCATGCCAATCAAACTTATTGGTATGAACTGTGATCTAATGGGGAAGTATATAGAATTTGTGGCTGACCGACTTCTCTTTGAACTCGGTTTTAAGAAACTTTATAATGTAGAAAATCCATTTGACTTTATGGAAAATATCTCATTAGAAGGGAAAACTAATTTTTTTGAAAAAAAAGTAAGTGAATATCAAAAATATGGTGTAATGAATTCAGATCAATACAGTGTTTTTACATTAGATTCAGACTTTTAGTTAATTAGTTGATGGATGGAATAGAACATGTTTTTTTTATATAGAATATAAATAATTTAATATAAAAATAAAAATATATATCTATTATCTTTTACTATTTTACTTATCATATTTATATTTTGACTTGATGAATAATGAATTAAATACCTTACATTCTCTCTTTCCACTAATTACAAGACTACAAAATATGAGGTATGTAATTATGGACATAATAACAAAACCATAATCTTCTTTATAAAATATCAACATATCACATGATTACCAAGCAGTACTACTATCGTCCGATGTAAACACCAAGTTTGGTTATCGCCATTGAATCAACTTTTCTATTTTATATTCACCAATGAATATAATTCAAAGAGAGAAATGAATCATTACATTAAGTTCCATGCAATATGCCGGTGATACAATATATAAGAGCCTCCGTATCCAGTCCAGTCAACCAGTATGCCAGAATCCTGTTCAGTAGTAATACGGGCTACTGTGTAATGGAGCTATCCAAGGAATCTTGTGGTGTAAGTACCTAAAAGTTATTTTATGATAAGCATGATGAAGCTTTGGACACTATATTATAATAAATAAATAAATAATGTCTCAGGTGCATTTGTGATGAAATCTAATCTTTCTAGGATGATATTAGCGATATCAGTGAGGGAGCCGAAGAGAAGAAGATAAAAGAGAAAAAAGATACTACTTCAACTAGCAAGTCTATTATTGTTAAAATAGAAAACCATATCCATTCCAATGATGAAAATGTGGCTTTGAGAAAGTTGGTTAATATAACGCCTGAGACTATATCAAAAAAACAACGTTATTGTGAAATTAATACTCAAAGTTTATTACAAATATTAGAATGGTTTGCTAACCACGATGGAACCAATGTGTTGCTGTATGAATTTGCCCACAGTGCATCATGTCAAAAAAAAACTTGTACCCCGATTTGTCTAATGTTTCGCCGGGTTCGTCATCATGTAGTAGTTTCTAGACATCCACATTGTTCGGTGTTAATCTTATATTCAACCCTCTTGCATACACATGTGTCTTCATGTGTTAATGATGATTGTGGGTTGCCTGCTTGTCATAGACTGAAAACCACCAGATCAACTATAAAGTTTCGTCTTGCCAAAAAGAAGTGTGGTTGTTAACTCAATGTTGTCTGCTGGATATATATTATTGTTAAAATTTTTAATTCGACCTATTAACAGAAGCGCATTATGATATTGATTGAAGTGTTTTTTTTTGTTTTGTTTTTTCCATAATATTTACCAAACGAACTTCTGTGAAGAAAAGACGCTTTCCTATTTCTGCAACGGAGGCCTGTCGCTGGATATTTATTGATTTGTACTAGTTAGTGATATGTTTTATTGAATGTTTTCTTCATACCACTGACTAGTTAAATTAATATATATTTACAAACATAAGGCAATTGTGATCTGTTGTAGGTCATTTGGTGAGATGGTGTGTTAAATGGTTTCACCATAATGTGTGAGGATTCGATGAACATTGTTTTAATTTCACTGGTCGAATCAAATAGGGGCAATCATCAGTTTCAGATGCTTCACCAACAACCGGGCTCATCATCAATGGCATTACATATTGCAATCTGTGCTCCTTCCTACTTCAATAATGAAAATGATGAGGTCTTGCGAAAGTGGAATCAACTTCAAGCTTTTTGGGGGTTTGGTAAAGGTAAATATGTGGATTTTATTTTTTTTCAATGTGGTAGTGAGTAAACCATTATGGAAAACTTAGTAGATTTGACTAGTTGTTTATAATATTGTAAAATGTATATAATTAAAATAGTATAATTTTATGAATTTTATTCCAGGTTATTATTCGTCCAATATGTCACCTGTAGAGTTCACATCTGAAAATCCATATTGTCGTTTCAAAGTAGTTTGCTATACAAAAATTCCCAATTATCGTAATGAAGATGGTATTGTGCAAATTATAATTGGAAGGGGCCTTTCAGAAGTGGAGTAAGTAATTAATATTCATATACTTGTATAATATTCTAATAATTTTTCAGTGTTAAATATGACTATGTTTTTTTTTATTTTTTTTTTTATTCTTCCAGGGCCTACAAACAGGAAGTTATTTCAGCATTGAGTCTATTATTCGGAGGTAATGAAGTTGTTGTTAATGAAATTTTTGCTGCTGAAGTACCAAACAAAACGAACTTCAGATTTTACATTCAGCAAGTTTTTCCTAATGGTAAAAGAATTTAAAGATTTTATAATGTTTTCCCTAATAATAATTATCATAAAAAATGATTTCAAGTATGGTATTATGCAAACTGCTCTATATTATAATATACCTTCTAGGAGAGATTCAACGTGCATCTACCATAGTCATATGTTAAGAGCATCATACAATTCAATTTTTAAGGTAAGCCTAAAGTAAGCCTTATTATAGCTTGCACCAATATATTAAATGGGAATTGATATCAGGTTGGCTTAAATAATCAAATTAGCTTAAAAGGGACATTATTAATGGAACGTTTTTTGATAGACAGACAGAGACAAAAATGCCTACTTTTTCTGTTTCAGAATTTGTTTATTGAACAGATTATTCCAATGTTGACTTTAACTGAACAACAAATGAAGAAATATCTTGATACACCGCAAAGAGGTAAATGATTTTGATATGACCAATCCATCTACTTATCGTGACATAATGACAAAAGTGAAGATATTACGGGGTATTTTTTTCCTACATTTGTGGAATTAAAAATTAAAATAAATTATTTATTGTTTATAGGAATTGATCCAGCATTGTGGGAACTGGGCAAGCAAAAAAATCCTGACCCAAAGAAATTGATACCTGTTGTAAAAGTGGGATTTCAGGAATTACAGAAACAGTTCAAGTATCAAGAAGAATATGGTAATAAAATTCATAATAGTATGAAGAATATTATGGATGATATAAGACAATTAAGTTGTATGCAGACGACAATTAAAGTTACCATTCAGAATTTTAAGTTGAAACAGACAAATATAATGCGCCGAGTTCTAAAATTGGTGTCAGCACAAGAGGTTGAAAGGAAAAAAAATCTACCACTAGAAGAAATAGAGGATCAGATTCGACTGTGATTAGAAAACTTGTATATGCAGCTGCAGGACCTCAAGGGATGTTTGAATGAACTAATGGCTCAGTCTATAAAGCCTGGTAGTTTTCCGCGAGCCCAACGGTATGGACTGGTTGTTGACAAAGTGCAGGATATATTACAATACCTAAAATGGCAGCAGGATGCACTTCAGGCTATAGTTAACATACTTAAGGAAGATATACAAGTGGTCGTTAACATAAAGAAGAACATCAGCTAAGTTTTGAGAGTTAAGGAAATTGGCTAACCGTCAACCAACTTCCCCAAACCACATTCAAACATTGGTAATTAACCCTATCATTGTTTAACACCTCCCTCCACCCTTTCAGGGAGGGTATGATGCTACACTGAATTTTTTTTTGTTCGTAACTAGCAACACACATTGAACTGATGATATTTCACTCTCTCAGGGAGGGTATGATGCTACACTGATTTTTTGTTTGTAACCCGCAACACACACATTGAATTGATGATAGTCAATAAATTAAATTTTAGTCTAGTTCCATTTTTTTTTTTTTTTTCACATACAATAAGTGCACTCTGCCCATTAGGCAAAGTATTATAATAATTTTGCTAGATATTGATGACACTGACATTTTAACGGAAACTTGAAATAATTGACCTAGAATGTAACAACAATGTTTGTGTTGTCTTACAGGAATAATTTAGTCAAATAAGCACAAACTATAAACTGCCAGCTTAACCAAGAAAGCCTGCCAGTGATTGGTCAATATAAAATATTCAGCGTGTGAGGGTTAATATCAGAGTCAGTCGATTTTGCTCCAGCATGGAGGACACACCTACAATTTCCTCTCCATTAACATGTGGACAGAAACAACAAGAAAGAAGTGATAATAACGATACTAGTGTTGATGAAGAACCATTACCTTCATCATCCACGTCTTTACCTTTGGGACAAAAAGTTAATGAAGGGTGTGAGAGAGAAGAAGAGGTGATACAAAAAAAGGAATTTGAATTAAAAATTAACCAAATGTTGGAAAAAGGTGGGCATGGAAGCCGGAAAATTTTCACTCGAGATAAATTAGCCCAATACATCGAGGAAGTCAAAAATGCTAAATTGAAACTGACTACAAAGACCTCTCATGAATATGATCTATTGTCTCGATATGATGTCAAAAATCTATTTGGGGATGATGTCTTAGTAACCATCGACGAAACTGAACGAAGAATGAAGCGGGGGACAAAGCGTAAACTGACCAGTGGCAATCGTCATTCTACTACGGCTGTAACAACAACAACAACAACAGGAGCAACAACAGCTGATCCTGGCCGGATGTGTCGTCGTTTCATACATCAAGGGCAATTGTATGATACGATTTATGATGCACACAGAGCAGTTTGTCACGGAGGAGAAAAAAGAACTTATTTTGAAGCAAGTAAAACTATCGCTAACGTCACTCAACAATCGGTGAAACTCTTTATTTCACTCTGCCACATATGTAATTTGAAACGACTTCCTCGACGAAAAAAGGGGGTAATACGGCCCATTGTATCGACCAGTTTTGCGGAGCGAGGACAAATGGATTTAATAAATATGCAAAAAGAAGGAGGATGTGTGTATAAATATATTTTACATTATCAAGATCATTTAACAAAGTTTTCGGTTTTACGAGCTCTTCGCAGTAAACGGGCGATTGAAGTGGCACGCCACTTACTCGATATATTTGCTCTCTTGGGAGCCCCACGAATTCTGCAGAGCGATAACGGCCGTGAATTTGTGGCAGAGGTGATTCAAGAGCTAAAAAACGAAATGTGGCCCAACATGCTCCTCATTAATAGCAAACCTCGTCATCCACAGAGCCAAGGGAGCATTGAACGTGCGAATGGGGATGTAATCAAAATGCTTGGCAGTTGGATGTGTGAGAATCAAGCGCGAGATTGGTCAGCTGGACTTCCCTTTGTG